CTATCTACAGTGTCTGCCCAGCTGCCCGGCCACCCTTCGCGGGGGCGGACTACGGTATCATGCATGGAACAATGGAAGAAAGAAAGAAAGAAAGAGGCCATCGGAGAGAGAAACGCACACTAAATGGCCTGCCTCATTTCCTCCTTTCCTCCCTTCGTGAATGGGAGCGGAAATGACTCTGTTTTTGGCATTAACTACTCCCAATGCTCGGTGGCATTATACCACTTGTACACGGGAGAAACGAATATCAAATAAACCCCGAGCCCGGGCGGATCCCAGGTCCGACTTGTTACTCATTGTGTTTTATCATTGATTGATTAATTCATCTCATGCTTCTCCTAAGTTCTGTGACCCTGCGGCTGCAGCTGCGGTATCTATACTCGTGCTACTCTGTCTAACCCCGTCCTTGTCATGACTGATAACCTCCGTCTCAACAGCAAGCCTGCTATCCAGATGCCAGTGGTCCTCGAGAAACTCCCTTGCCCTGCGAAAGGCGTCGAGTTTCAGCTTCCGCTCCAGGTCGCTGATCCACGAGTCCGGGAACTGCGTCCACCCGTGCACGACGCCCTTGACCTCCTCGACGATCAGGTCGTCGCCGCGGCCCTCGTCGCGCACCTTCTGGATCCAGGTCATGCTCTGCTCGTTCAGCGAGTCGAACTGGGGCAGCACGAGTAGCATCTTGGCTTTCGGGTGGAGGCCGAAGTTCTCGCCATCCCGCGCCCGGATGTCCGCGAGCCCGGGACTTGCTCGTGGATGACCCCTCTTCTCGGGGGGTAGATAGGTCGGCATCAATTCCTTCTCGATCTTCCATCGTTCGACAAATCCTGAAGGGGGATTAAGCCCTTCGGGTCTTGGCCTCTCGTGTGGCAAAAGCCGGGCGTCCAAGCTCGGATAGAACAAGAGAACGGGAATGTCATTCGGCCAGTCCCAGGGCAGCGGGCTCACCCAGTCTGTCTCTGCCGTTGGGTCGTCCTTGATTCTGAGAGCGAGATTCAGGGCGATATTTCCTCCGGAGCTGAATCCTGAAAAGGCGATCTTCTGCTCGTCTAGTTCGATAGGTTTTCGTCCTTGTTTCAGCATCTCCCACAGCTATGCAACGGCATTAGTCTCTACCGCGGTTTGATGAAGCTCAATATGAGAACTTGTACGAATTCAATGTATGCATTTCAGAGACAGGGGGACTTACTATTCCTTCCCTTAGCGGCTTGAACGCTCTGCTGCTTGGGTCAATCACTGCAAGCACAACATCTTCGGCGTCGAGATTGGCTGCAGGGAATTGCGCATACGGACCGAGCCGATAGTCCACCGAGATGACGACGCAATTCAGCTCACGACACATCCTGGCACAGAAGGGTGCTTGCTCTTGGCATGATCCGAGGATGAAGCTGCCGCCGTGGAAATCGATCAGGACCGGCAACTTCGCATCGTGGTCGTCGTCGATGCCGATGGGCCTAAGAGCGTCCTTGAGGTGCGCACCGGCCGCGTTCTTCTGAGAGTGGAAGATATGGTGATGGCGGTGCTTGCGCAGGGGCGGGACCCAGACGTAGACCGGGATCAGATGCTTGCCGCGCGAGGGGATCTCGAAGACGATGGGCTGCGGACCCTCGGAAGCGGTGAAGTTGAGGACAAAGTCCGGGACGAGGCGGGGGAGGGAGACGAGGGCCTTGCGCCATGAAATGCCAAAGGGTTGCGTGAACATGGCCTCGGCGGGGTTCTTGTCATCGGTATACTTGTGTTTCATGGGAAGGATGCGATCTGGTGGTGTACTGTAGGTGCTAGCTTGTCCGGGGGTGGGCGGAAGAGACTTGGCGACATCAGTGTATGTACGAAGTATTTCAATCCTTTTTGCAGAGCGACTGGGGGTTTGTTATGGAGGATTTGATTTCATCCTTCAGCCTTGGATCCAACCTCGACGACTTGGGATAATACAAGGTTAGTCAGTCTGTAGTCAGATGGTGAGTTGGTGGTCGGTCAGTCGCAGAGGCTGTGCTCGCACTGATGATTCTACGCGCTGATTGGCTGTGTGATGCTTATGTAACAATCATGGCCCGTCTTTTAGCCGCCGCTTTGGTCTCGCCATATTCACGCGTCCTCCCTCAACGCGCGACGCGTCCGTTGCAGGCAAGTCTCCTCGGTACTCGCATGTTGGACGCGGGGAAGAGTATGATGCTTGCACCAACTATATTTGAGAAAGCCTTCCGTAAGCGACAAGACGATGTCCCGTATCCGCGCATTATCTTCGTCTGGTCGGCATGATTTAACAAGGTTACAAGTTGGCAAGATCATCAGGATTAAGCCTCATAGATTCAAGGGTGTGAGGAATGCTGTAGGCACTGATAGTATAGATATACTACCTCACAGTGCACTCAAATCTCCTATTAGGCTCTTACGACTAATTTCACCTGGCAGGCCAACATCAACTGGATCACTCCATTCTCCCATGGCGCTGAAGGGGGCATTGCTCAAGCCATATGCGTCCCGCCGTTCACACCCAAGCAGACGCCAGTCATCCACCGGGCCCTTTCCTCGCAAAAGAAGGCGGCTGCATATGCCATCTCCTCGGTCTCTCCAAGTCGGGATGCCGCAGGGGTCATGGCCAGCATTGGCTCAAGGCTGTCTCGAGTAGGGCCTGTCAATCCGTTGAATGCATCGGTGCTCGTGGCTCCAGGACAAATGGCGTTGACGGTACACTCATACTCCCGGCCCAGCTCCCTTTTATTTGGTAGGGAACCCGTCAGCGGGAGAAGAGAAGGGCTAAGAGAGCATTCGGTGGGTGAGCAAATGTGAAGTACTTACACAGCCCAACATCGAGTAAAACTCTCGATCATGCTTTTCGTCCCATTATAAACGCTCGCTCCTGGATATGGCTGTCGGGCTCCGCTAGAGCTCAGGTTGACAATCCTGCTCGGTTTTGCTAGATGTGGCAAGACGGCTTGGGTCAAGAGCAGCGTCCCGCGACCGTTCAAGTTGACTTGGGCGTCCCATTCCTCGAGGGTGACGTTCTTGAGGAATGTCATCCTGGCGATGCCAGCGTTGTTGACCAGGATGTCGACTTTACGACCGTTGGTGCGCTTGACGGCCTCTTCGACGAGGTGTTTTGGACCGTCCACCGTTGATAGATCGGCTTCGACAGCGAAACACTCGCTCACATGGCTCCCGCCGGTGGCTCGAATCTTGTCCAAAGTGGTCTCTGCTTCTTGTTGAAGTGAAGCAAACGGATAGTTTGTGACCACGAGAGCGCCTCTATATCAAAGGATCCAGTCTGTCAGCTGTGGGCTCGTCCTGAGATACAGAGCACACGCATGGGCCACACTGAAGGTTCGACCCTGTCAATTCCAACACCCCCTACCGACATACCTCGAAGCCAGCTCGATGGCTATAGCTGCTCCGATGCCTTTGGAACTCCCGCTCACGATGGCCAACTTTCCATCCAGAGTCTGCGGTTTTTGCACCATCTCTGTTGTTACCGAGCGAGAAACCGTTTGTTGCTAAAGTCAGAAAAGGGATGGGCGAGGACCTCTGTGGTGATTGATGGGTACTGTGTCCCAAGTACCTAATACCTAGTATCTAGGTATGTAGCAAGGCGAAGCGAGGTGTACTTGTATGTACTACCAAAGGAACAGACAGAACAGAACCGAACAGCGTCCTCCTCCTCATCCTTACACGCCCAGAACTGGCACTTTCCAAAGTACATATGGCGCGAATCCAACTCCGAATCGTGCTGCAGCTGCAGCTGCAGTCCAACGAAAAATGCGCCACTGGACTTGTTCGGTACACAGTACTCAGTCCACGGATGTTTGTATTGGACAGTTGGACGTTCCCCGTCCCCCACCAACGCAGCGCGTCGTGTTCCCCGGAGCCCTTGCGTTCTGTGCTCCTGTGCCTCTGTGCGCAAGTGACTTACTTGTCCATGCACCTGTCTTGTCGTGTTGAACGGCCATTGGATCTCCTCCCACGGTCTGTTCGGCCTCTGCATCCATCGTGCGCACCACACGATGGGACCGTGAACTCCCGGAGGAGCCACCACCACCACCGCCACCACGCCGACAACCTACTTGAGTTGTGGTGCAGATCAAAACCAAACCCCCCGGAGCCACTGGGCAACCTACTTTGTACTTTGTACTTTGACCTGTACATGTACAGGTACAGATCAAACCCCCCTTACCTACATTCCGGGGTCGATTGCGATTGCGATTGCGATTGTAGGAAGGTACCTCGTACCAGAAAGATTACCGGTGGGAACCGGGCATTCTCAATTCCACAAAGGAGTCTGGGCTCTTTGTTTCGCTTACGAGTCAAGTTGAAAACCGACCCCGTTACCAGTGCCACTGTATGCCTATTTTACATATTTCCGTATATTTATCTTAGGTAGCCACTTAGCCTGCTTCCTGGCAGCTCAAGAGTCTAGCACCTACATAATTACTCGGTACCTAACGCACTCCTCCCTGCTCCTCTCCCGCCTCCCCCTCCACAAAACCAACAACGGGGCGCGGGTGACTGGATAATTATCTGAAACTGGAACTGAAAATACCCCACAAGGCCCCATATGTATGGTTTTTGACTTGACCTGTGTAAAAATATACAGTCAGTTCATGACAACTGAGCATTCGACGACGACGACGACGACGACCCCTGACAAAGACAAATGAAAAAGGCCCACGCGCCGGGGAAGGGGGGAGACACAGTGGGAAATCCGTGAGCTTTACAGGGCTACAAGATTCAAGGCTCACGGCTCACGGCTCAACAACATCGCCCCTCCTGTCCATCTAAAGCCCGTGACAAGGCACGGAAGAGCCACTCCACTCTTATGCAATGTTGGGCCCATATGTCAGGCACGAGCAGAGCAGAGCAGCCGCGCAGTCAAGACGCCGAATACAGTCGTGGTACTCTGTACTTGTAACACTGGTGCATGCACCGAACACTTTGTATACATATCGATATTGTCTCTGGCTCAAAAGAATTCGCTCGCCCTGGCTTGTGTTGCCAAACATCGCCTGCGTCTACTTTCCGTTGTGTCCATTGCCACCATTCTTTCCCTTCCCGCCCGTCTTCTCACTCCTTGCCAGTACCTCTTTACATTCGTCACAATACCACTTGGCGCTCTTGGGCACGCTTTTCAGCCCAATACACTCCAAATGGAACCATTGCCTGGGACAATCGTCCCTGTCGCACGCCACCATCTCCCCGTAACTCACCCCTTGACAGTAGCAGTACCTCTCTTCATCTTCCTCCAGTCCGTCGATTTCTTCATCCTCGTCCTCTACCTCTCCTGCTTCGGGGTTAATCACCGGGGTGCCTGTCGCCAGGTCGCGGTCTGATGGCGTGGACGATTTCGTGGGAGGGTCCGTTTCATCTTTTACCCGCTGGCTGCCGAGAGCATTCGAGGTAGAAGGAAACGACAAACTCGCACTCTTTTTGTGAGGTCGCTTCATTGGCAAGCCTTTTGGTGACAGAGAATCGTGGAGACCGTGGTCCTTCACTCTCGGTCTGGCTGGGCGTTTGGCTTTCGTGGCACCACCGCCATTTCCGCCAGTCGACGACGTCTCTGCAGCGTCGACTTCGGCAAAAGTGCTAACTACCGGTGTTGACGTCTTGGAGGCTCGGCCTCTACCCAAGCGCTCGTTCTTCAGTTCATTTATTTGCAGTGCTGGCGGCAGACGCGGCGACGCTGCCTCCTTTGCGGATACTTCCTCTTGTAGGTCGCCCTTGGCAGTATCTTGCCTGCTGGTGGTCTTGTCCGACGATGCGATCCCTTTCGCTAGTTGTTCGCCATCCGCGTCATTCAACCTCGCAGACTCATGTTCAACTAGTCGCTCCCCCTTCTCGGCTTTTGTGTCTGTTGTGCTCTTCCCACTAACCGCAGCGGAACTGCCCAACTCCGATATACCAGCGGCCACATTGTTGTTATTATTCCCATTTCTGCTCGATGTCAGGGAAGAAGGTCTCCCTTTCACGCTCTCGACAGTATGTGCAGAATTCTGGCGTCCTCGACCGGCAGGGCGGACTGCAGAGAGAGCAGGACTACGCTTGTAAGCTTCTTTCCCCGTTGTTCCAGCAAGCGGTGACGAGGCGAGTTTGGGCGAGTCTTGGGTTGCGGCATTGATCCTAGAAATCCAATCATTAGCAGCACTCTCGGTTTTCTGATCATACACATACCGTTTGCGGGCCACAGAGGTGACAGTAGCGGATGCCTTTCTCTTCTTGGAGTTTTCTTGCTGCGAATTCTCCCTAGACATCGGGCGTCCTCCAAGCGCACTGCTTATCGAGCGTTCCATGGCCACACCCGCAGTTGCAGGCTTTTCCGGTCTCTTCCTCTTCCCCGTGCCTGCACCTGCGCCGCTGATGCCCAGCCCAGCAGGATCTAGTGCTGCATCAGCCGCCCGCTTCTTGCCGCTGGTGGTTGTTTTGCGCGTGGGTGCTCTAGATTCGTCAAAGTCAGAGTCGGCATGATTGGCGGCTCCCCGTTGCCTCCTTGCAAGAACCGCCTCCCTCCTAGCTTCGCTTCTATGCGCGACCTCGCTCTCATGCAGAGTGGCTAAGCCAGCGGCCGCAGCCTCTCTGCGCGTAGTGGGCACGGTGGGTTTCTTGATGGGATTCGTTTCGGTGTAGGCCCAATGCTTCAGGCTCCCCAGTCTGGCTTCTTCCGATATTTCGTCCGCGATGTGTGGCCATATACGATCCAATCTCTGAATGTGTCTCCCCACCTCTTCATTGGCATTGTTGATGACGTGGTTTTTCTCATCCATAGTGACCATGATCGTCATGAGGTTTTGCCTCAGAGCGTGGTATTGCTGTCTGCGGTGCATGATGATGGGATCGGCAGATCGCGCAGAGGCGAGGGAGGCGTTGTCAAAGGACGCACCGGCGACGCTGTTCGCTTCGCTGAGATTCAGGGTATCATCTGCGACAACGGAGCCAGCTAGGCTCTGAGAAGCAGCAGCTAGATGATTCGTTGTCACAGCACTGTCCGTCAGACACTGCTCCAAGATCTCTCGTAGATTTTCTTCAGGACCCCACGCTTTTGCATCGACCTCCTTCAGCAGTGAGGTGTGTCGGCGGTATTCTCGAGGCAAAGCGGAGATCGCATCGGCAAAATGAGTAATGGCAGGGTACATGGCTGGCGGGTCATTGTTGGCCTGGCCTTGTGAAGCGACGGCGGTGGAAGAGGATGTCAGAGCAAGACCACTGTTGGAGACGAGTGAGTTTTGGCGCAGGAGGGTCGATCCGAGGCCTTTCGAGGCTCTGGCAGGATTGGTTCGAGTCAGGCGAGATGGGACGCCTCGCACATTGGAGGTGCCCAGGGTTGTAGTCATTGTCGTCGTGGACATAAGGATATCCGATGGTGGGAAGGTAGACCTGAAGAGGACCAGAGCTGCGAGAGTGTGCGATCCTTGCGAAGATGGCCTGAGCGGGAAATCTAGCAAATTTATCACAGCATCGGCGGTACAGAATAAGCAGAGACTAAAACAGCGGAAACAAGATGATCAAAACAGTCGACAGCATCATCAAAGAGAGAAAGTCTGAGCTGGTCAACGAGGTGCAAGCGCGGTGGAAAATGTGGTCGAGAACGAACCATGGGGGGGAGCGCAGCCAGCGTTGCGCGCATCTCCCTCCCTCTTGTTCTGGTGGCTCTGCTCCCTGTGCCTCTTCCGCTTGCTGCTCGCTGGATTCTCCAATCGGCGGTTGGTGACATCAACCCACCGATCAAAGTTTCTCCTCTCTTTTCCGCAGTCACGTGCAGCCGTGTGTTCAGCCACACTCTCAGCCTCAGCCTCGTAGCCTTGCAGCCTCACGAAGCCCACTCCCATCTTGTCTTCCCTACTGATAACCAATACATCTCTGGAATGGGGAAATTTCATTACATTCAGAACCAAGTCCGTTACGCCAATAGCTAATACTCCATCATAATTTTCGCTTACAAACAATGATCGATCTTTGCACGGGACAGTAAAAGTCGTCAAGGTCATAACCTCTTCCCCTTTCCAACAACCATCTGATCAATTCCTCCATTGAACACGGTCTGCTTGCCCTTTGATGCTCCTGTACGTGTTACAGCTTCAAATCCAGCCATCGTCCACTTTCGATGACTGTCCGTGACCAACACCCACATCCAAAGCGAGTTGTGGAGGCTCATCGCCTTTCTTCTTGACGGGACTCTTTCTCGGACTAAGCGTTTCTCTCGGCGGACCTGCTCTGACGTCTTCCGCTGGCCACTGGTCTGCTTTGGCCGCTGCAACCCAACACTTTAGGCCTTCATGGACCCCTGAATAGAACTTTTCTTTGCATGTTCGAAGACTCCCACCCATCACTTTCTCGAACCCGGATTGCTTTAGCTCTTCCCGCAGTGCATTCCGGTCTGCCGCAGTTGGGAGGCAGGCTATTAGCCCGTTCAGTAGATCCAGATGGGTAGCGAGGTACTGCGTCGCTTCCCATTCAACGCCTCCCACGTACGGGGCTGCCGGGTGCGGTGGTCGAGGAGGGGGGAAATGTGCTCGACAATAGCCCACTGAGTCATCAACCTCGATAATGGGAATGACGTTGAGATGATGCAGGAATATCCAGAAAACTTCCTTCGTGACATTAACAACTTCTTTGCACCAGACTCGGTAAGGTCGAGGAGTATGCATCTGTGACACAAAGTCGAGCGGCTGTTTGCCATCCTCTGGTACGGGGTCCTTGAGAAATCCAAGGATTTTCTGTGCTCGTCCTTGAACAACCTCCGGACTAGAACCGACCTCGGCTGACAAGTGAGCAAAAAGGAGCGAGATTATCACGCCTCTGGTGTTGAACTCTGACGGACCCTTTCGCTCTGGATCGAATAACATTCGCAAGAGTGCTGGGAAGAACTCATTTTCCATTTGTTGTAGACGTTGTAGGGCAAGGGATGTCGTGCATAACCCTTTCAAGCACAGCAGAGCCTCGTGAAGAAGACTGTCTTCATGTTCTTCGCGCCACTCGATCTTGGAGATGCGGTAGTAGAGTTGAACAAGCTCGTCCATGCCGCCCTTGCTCACGAAATGATCCGTCCAAGAAATCGACTCATTCCTCAGAAGAATCCTCAGTTTGTGAAGCTTGCTGACTTCTACAAGTGCAGGTTTCTGTACCTCTCGAAGGTAATGGATGAAATCTCCGGGAGTGGTAGCGCTGTCCGCCGGGTTGAGGGATGTTAGCGACACGGTCGAAGACATTGCTTTCGCCGAATTGGGTCTTGAGCTCGTCAAGTCGGCGGATTTGTTCCTGGATTTACTGCGTGATCTCAAGGATGAACTTGGCTTGTCTTGCTTTGTAGGAGAGTCTTCTTCCCGCCTGGTCAGTGTCAAGATACGACTTCTAGGGCGGGATCGGGATCTGGATCGTCTGCCTTCCTTGCTCTCCTCACCCTCGCTCCTTGGCCTCTCATTTTCTTTTTTGTGAGGGTTCCTAGATGATGAGCTGGCCTCCGTGCTATCAGCGATGGCTGACATCGTAGACGAACCACTGCCAACACGATCACCCTTCATCAAGCCGGCCTTGACATCTGGCTTGAGGTTTCGCATATTGTCCCGCATATTTAGTGGAATGTTCAATGAATCCAACACTTTCTCAAACGCCGAGTCCAGCTCTTGAGGACTGAGGGGATAGGTTGCGGAATTCAGAGGCTCTGGGACTGGACGGGTATCCTTGCGAGCTCTCATATTGAAAGTCTGGATTGCCTCAAAAACCCTCGAGCCTAGCTTGACTTTGGGGTCTGCTTGAGATGAGGATGGAGGTTGGATGGGTGTAATGGGATGCCCATCAGGTTTGGAAGAGGAAGCTGGGCGGCTGATTTGTCCATCCCTACTCTTTGGCGGTTTAATATTCGCTTCAGTATCATCATCAATGTTCTCGGTGAAAATGGAGCTTCTGCTAGATTTGTGCTCCAAGAATGGTCTTTGCGGTGGCTGATAGTCCAACACCGCTGATGCCGCTGGACCGTAGCCATAAAAGTTCCTTTGTTCCGCAGGACGAAATTCGGAATAGTCTTTGGGGGTATACAGATTTATCTCCTCTTGAACTGTCCTTCTCTTCGAAGCTGGATATATCATCTTGCCATCCGCCGCTTCCAAAGGCTGAGTCGCAAACTGTGCCCAAATGGGAGTGGGACTCTCGCTGAGTGTTGTCTTTGGTGGAGGGCAATTTTCTTGGTTGCTGCTGTTTCTGTTATTCTCTTCCCTGAGATCTTTTTTCGACCTCCGTTTCAATAGTCCAGTCAGGTTGCTGGCTGATTTCACCTTCTTAAGTTTCTTGTCGGCCGTGTTGCCCTCGACCGGGGAAATACTCCCAGTATCCGTACTCTTCTCTTTGCCCAAAATGATTCCTTTCAACGACACAGAACTCCCTGTCTTTTTGTGCGTGCGGGACAGAGCAAGACGGCCAGGCTCATCTCCTGGTCTTGTTGCAATTCGTTTCGGTTGTGGTGGGCTGTTGATGTGCCGCTCTCCAAGTGGACTGGCAGAGTTGGCAACTTCTCGACCGGATGGTTTCTGCGGCTTTACAGGGCTAACGTTGTCCCTTTGACGCCCTCTGAGGACGTCTCCCACTGAAGGAGCTCGATTGTGGTTCGCTCTTCGGCCTCTTTGTTGAGGTTCTGGATCCTCAAAGATTTGAGCAACCTGATGGACGGAGGGTGCCATGGTGGAGGGATCGAAGAAGATATATTTGGGCACGGTGCCTATTCAGATACAGTTTCTCATTTCTACAGAAACATGAACGATGCTAGAGCACGGGCAGTAGGACGATCCATAGCCAAGGCACGGATGTGGACGTGGAAGTGGCCTGGCCTCACGACAGCCCGCGTTGGAATCGCACCTGCGTTGTTTACCCTCGTGCGGCTGCCACAGCAACAGACTTGGCTTACCCGAATCACGTGGAAGGCTCCGAACTCAGCACTTGAACGACAACGCTTACAGCCTTTTGATCATCAATAGACCCCTGCAAACCATGCCTTTGTAGCCACGTGGAAATTAACCGTGCAGACAGTGAGACATCATATTATATCCTTACAACATGTTTCTAACCTACTGCAAGAATTAATAGCATCCCACATCTGCCTCTGTCCTGCAGTATCACCGATACTCCTTACCGCCAGGCTCGTCGTATCTTGCTCATGCTTTTCGTACAATTGTCTTCATTATGCCATCCAAGTGATCAGAAGCTCCCATGAGCGTGGTTGGTCTCATGATTTCCAAATCCACAATACCCAACCAGGGACAAAAAGGGATATATGACAAAGTCGATGCGCTAGGTTCATGTAATCATTGCACGATACTCTGGCGCCAGCGATCAATTTGCGCTCGCTGTCTGGGATCCAACGGTGGGCCCATCATCGGGTCCTGGATATATGGTTGAGTACCATATGAGTATGGATATGTCTGTTGCATATAGGTGGGCAACGGTGCGCCCAATCCTCCATTCATATACCCGGCATTCTGCGGATACCCGTAAGCTCCATTTAAAGCAATATTTTGCTGAGGATAGCCCCAGTTTGGGTTCTGCATCGAGTTGTATACCTGATTCGAACTGGTCCTTGGCAGCCCTAGTTTTGACTGGGCACCAGCAGGATGAGCTTGGAGTAAATTAGCCAGGCTATGCATGGTTTTGACCTGATGAATGCCCTGCGGGTTGGCGGCTGCTTCCTCCTTCAGCCGCTTTCGCCTCTGTGCTAATGTTTCTTCCATATCCGGTGTTTTTGATGGTGGGGGGACGTCGTTCGTGCCATTAAGACCTAATTGTGAGGTCAACTCCTCTGTAAATTGGCCTCCAGTACCTTTCTCTTTCTCTAGCTTCATCCTTGCTGCCCTCTGTGCTAGAGTCTCATCTTCATCTTCGGGTAGGGTTTCTTGAGCTAGGCCTGGGACTTCCTCGATGAATGGTGGCCGGCTTCCCTCCTCAATCTGACTCTTAGCCTCGGGTTTCGAAGTTTGAACTTGCCCGCCTCGCAATCTCGCTCGTCGTTGACTCAAAGGCTCGTTCTCCTCCATTTCCCGCTTCTCAAGGAGACCAATTGGTCTATTGGCATTGGCGTGCTCTGCTCTATCCTTTTCGGGGAACAGGATTCCGAGAGGTACATCCTCATCATCAAAGTTCTGCTTGTCCGCTTCATCATGATCTTCCCAAGCCAAAGTGACATGCTTGGTCTTTCGGGCTCGCTGTTGAAGTTGCGTAACAGCATCCAGCTCAAGCAAAGTCGAGTGCATGCCATTGGGGAAGGCGTCTGCCGCAGTCCGATTACGCAATCTTTGTTGTTCCTTGCGCATCTGTAACTCGGCAAGGAGAGTCGTTGGCGCTGTCGAAA